AGAGACTCTAAGCGTTTGAGATGTGGTGCTATAGACGCATGTTGAAGATTTCTTGGATAGATAGAGTTACCAACGAAGAAGTACTACACAGAATGGGTAAAAAGCGCGAACTAGTCGTAACCATAAAACGTCACAAACTAGAATACATGGGCCATATAATGCGCACTGAACAACGATATGACCTACTTCGGACCATACTTCAAGGTAAAGTGCATGGGAAAAGAGGTCCAGGACGGAGAAGAATATGCTGGCTGCATAACCTGCGAAAATGGTTGAACTGAACCACTACCGGACTTTTCAGGGCAGCAGTCAACAAAGTCAGAATAGCCATGTTAGTGTCTAACATCCGTAATGGATAGGCACCATGAGAAGAGAAGTTTCATGTATGAAATAAGTATCTATCATTTTCTATGGCATCCATTCTTTGAATATGTTCATTCTATTGTATTGGCTTAATCCCTCATTTAAGTTATACACAGAGTGGACCAAAAGTCTGGAAGTTTGGAAACGTCTATACTCCAGCAAAGAAATAATGAAATGAGTTATATGTGTTCAATCACAAATTAATCCCTTAATTTGTAATCTCACATTATTCTTAACTTCTTATTCTTTTATATTTTCACCGTGTATAATTGAAACATTGTGAAACATATCAAGTGATATTTTAATAATTAGAGTCCATTCAACCTGAAAACCTGCAAACTTAATAAATTGCCAAATAATATATTTTCTAATTGAACTTCCTAAGTGTTGCAACAACGGCCTAGATTTAATTGTATTGTAAGCTCATAGTTCAAAGTTTGTTAGTATGATAGAAGTACTCTGTGCTGAGGTATATATTAAAATTATGAAATATCACTTGAAAAGAGTAATTGGGGATAGTTTGTTAACATACGAAGAGCTAAGCACAGTGCTATCTCAAATAGAGGCATGCATGAATTCCCGACGTTTATGCGTTAATACAGAAGATACGGAGAACAGAATAATAATAACCCAAGGACACTTCCTAATTGGGAGAGAACTAATTTCGCCAAATAGGGAGGAAGAGTTGAGCACATATACAAATATGCCACAAAGGTGGAGGCAGTTAGAAAAAGTAAAAAGACATTTTTGGAACAGTTGGAGACATGACTAGTTGTCAGTTGACAAAAACCCGTCACAAACCTAGAAATAGTAGAAGTGATGATAATAAAGGAGGGTGACACCTTCCCGGGGAAATGGCCACTAGCGAAGATAACCGAAACACATCCCGGAGCTGAAGGTTTTACAATAGTCGCAACAGTTAAAAAGGCGAACGGAAAAGTAACTACTCATCCTATATACAAGTTAATACCAATAGTAAGAGAGCGCACCTCATGAAAGGCAAATTCATTTTATCTTATAATATATGTCTATGGGTAAACTAGTAAAGACGAGTGAAACGCTGGCCGAATTCCAAGCTGTGTTGCCAGATTAAAAATAAATAATAAAAAATAAAAATAATCATTTTGGTACGTGGGTAAGTGGGCATACTTTCGAGTGGTAGAAACGGGTATGCCCATTTAATGCTCCATAACAAAATGGAAAACGACGATTATAGTACAGAAGATAGGACAGGGATAGGAGGTGATTCGGAATTTAATTGCTGTCCAAGGTAAACGATTTTATCAACTTGCTCAAATTTGATATTATTTACATATATATATATATATATATATATATATATATATATATATATATATATATATAGATAAACGGAACGGATAGGAAACTGGAAAAAATACCGGAAAGTTTCAATATGCTAACAATAGAAATAAGAGAACTGTGAAAAGAGCAAAGAGAGTATAGAGCTGTAACGCAGGCACTCAGCCAAGAAAATGAAAAGCTGAAAAAGGACAACAGAAATAATATGTAATGTAAAATGTATAAGATTTCTTAAGCAATCAAACAGACAAAGAAACAATAATGAACAACAACAGTAAACTGAGAGAAATTAAGGGAAATGAAATATAATATTAACGATGACATGGACAAAACTGAATGTATGATACAGGGGAAGATCAGCATGAAGGCAAAAGAAGCAAAATCAGAATGAAGGCAAAAGAAGCAAAATCAGAAGGAAAAAATGTTAAGGTAGGATTTAAAAAATAAAAATAAATGACAAGGTATGGATATATAATAAATGTCAGGAAAAATTTGAAAAATGGAAAATCAAAGCAGAAACCAAAAAAACTAACAGAGGTAAATGAAACGAAATCCATCAACGCTGTATCAACGAAAATAAAACCATCATGATTGTAGAGCTTTTAAAAACACGTAAAACAACTGTCAGCTTTAGTTATTAATACAATTTATTTTACAAAACTTTTCAGTAAATGTCAAGCCATGGTTAATTTTATGAATTAATGTCAAACTCACAGCATCATATATTTACTGAATTACTTCAAAACTATTTGGCACTTGGAACTTTTATTTATTTAAAACTTATGTGACTTTTGTGAAATAAAATACCAAGTGTTACAAATGGTTGAACTTGTATTAAAGTGATGACTACAATAATATTTTTTTTTATTTTGATGGACCTAATAATATCAGGTTTACTTATCAAAAGAAACTGGCTGCGGTGGTTAGGTCACATAGAGAGAATAAATAAGATGGAGCCGCCAAAACATATTTATAACCAAAGAATAGCTCAGTGGTTATGTTACTGGCTTAACAAGCAGGAGAGCCCAGACTCGAATCCCGGCACCAGCAAAATTTTAAATTTCTAATTTAACTGAGGTGTCACCGTGCTTCGGAGGGCACGTAAAGCCGTCGGTCCCGGCTACGAAAGTAGTCGTTAAGTCATGTTAGGGGCGCCTGCGCGACCTGAAAACCCTAACAGTAGACCTTAGCCAGAAAGTTACATGACCTTTACTTTTCTTTTACCAAAGAATAGATGGAGTGAGAAAGAGAGGCAGACTCAAAGCACAATTTAAGGATCAGGTGGAGGAAGACTTGAGAATGTTGGGAGTAAGAAACTGGAAAGCCAAGGCGAAGAATAGTAGAGAATGAAGACTTATCCTTGAGCAGGTCAAGATCCACCATGAGTTGTGAAGTCAATGATTATGATGGATTGCAATAATATTACAGTATACAGAGTGTTGTATTTAAAAAACCAAAGTGAGTAATGATAACAGAAAATTGATTGTCTAGCAACATTATAAGCAAATTTGATATCTCCATATTGCAGAATAGGCGTTTGTACAATTTGGACCAACTATTGTTGACCTTCTAGTCATCCCTTTTCTTTTTCTACATCATCCCCTTTTTCCAATGATTTTGTCAACTAGTTTTTTTACTATATGATTTAAATTCTGCCATTTTTAATAGATATCATATTTGATCTGTATTTTTATCCAATTCTGCTGATTTGATGTAACCATTTGATACTGTCTTTATTCTTTTTGTCATTCTTTAGTAATATCTTTTAGATGGACCCCATTCTATTTCCTCCATTGTGTATGAATCAATTGTTAATATTACTAGAAAATGGTTCTGAAACTGTTTTCTTGTGACATGTTTAAACATGATTAAACCACAGCAGAGATTTGACAGGGATGCAAATTAATCATTTGGGACTAATGTATGATGATTATACAAGAGATCATTGGAGTTACTGGACAGAACTTTAAAAGATATTGGAGACAACAAAAACATTTTCGCACTCACTGTCCAAGAGGCGTCCGATCTCGCAAATTTATAATGAAAAGTAGGATCAGTTGTCATTGTGCTGTGTAACATTAATCAACCTCAACAGTGAAATTGAACAACACTGTCTGTGAAAAATTAATGAATAATGTAAATAGCACAAAAGAAAATACAGAAAAGAGGATGCCTTGATTACACTTGTTGAAACGGACTTACAATTAGATTTCAGTGTCTACAATTTTTCCCGTGTATTTGGCTTTTGCATTGTCGATAAACAAATCACAAGATCAACTGTTGAAAGATTGCGGAATCAACATGAAGTTTCCACCTTTATACACAGAGAATTATATATCGCCTGTTTGCACATTGGAAAACTGTCATTGTTGTATATTTACTCACCACAAAAAAAATAAAAATATTGGTCATCAGAAAGCATTAAATTTATTCAATTTCTCTAGCCTCGAACACTTCAAATGTATTTATGAAAACCTTTATGTTAAAAGAATGTGTTCATGATTTTCAATGTTATTAGTTTTCACATAAAATGTCTGTTCAATGCATACCATGTATACTATTCAATTCAATTAATTTGTCTAAAATAATGGTATCTTGTGAATACACATTGAAAATAAATGTCTTTTAATGAAAGAAATTTTGAGAATTTGCTACAATGGCTCAAATACTATAATGTCAAAGATATAACAAGGAACTTTTTGGTATAAAACTAGATATTCCTTCTGTCCCAACACTGAAAAGGTATTGTAATACTGAGAACATGTTGAACAGTGCCAGTACCGTTGGGCATCTTCTAAACTATGCATCACTTTAATATTATTTAGTTTAAAAAACTGTAAATATATCAAATCAAATACTTACCAATAAATGACTCATATTCATATTTAAACACGCTGGGCCTACCGCCTAACTTAGTACACACCACACATTGTTTCAGTTACAACATCATATTTTATTTAATCAACTTTTTAAATAAACAACCATAAACAAAGATAGCTAAATCTTTATAACTTTATAGTATGAATGACTCTTTGTGTGAACAGAAAACACACAGGAAAATGTATTAAAGAAATAGTTTACCAAATTTTTTATCTTTTATATCTGATAAAAGATTATATATAGATATGTACTTTCTTTTGCTAAATATTCAAACTTGTAAAGCACCAAATTAGGTAAAACCTGTATAGGTAATAGAAACAGTTAGAATTGTCATAACATATGAAGTCATTTCTAATAATTATGCATTCTAATGAGCGCATATATCAATTCCAATTTAAATACGATAACATTCTGATAACTAATTGTTTAAAACTTACCTCTCGTTTTTCCTAGAATTGTGCTATATGTGCTTCTTTTGCTGCCAAACTTTAACATACTCTCACTCACGCACTACTAGTATTTTTACACTTAACAACAATACATTGTACAAAAATAAATATTTTGGAGTCTTAAAAAATTTCTATTTTTTGACACTGATGTGTTTAAACAAGGTTACTTCTCTCTTCTTCTCTTCCTTACGAGACATCCTTAATAGTGGCCCAGTAGTCAGTTGTGTTAAAAGTGTGATCACACTAACCGATCACGGATCATTCGACATTTTATGGAAAATATTAACTTTATAAATAGAATAAAAAAACACACCTGTTATAAAAACAATGGTGAACCACTGAACCCTGTAGTAAATATTCTTGATTACTTCAGATTAACAGTTAATTCGTTCGCATATTGTTTAAAATAGGTGTATAATAAAAAACTTCGTAATTTTTTATTTATTACATATTTAATTATACATCTATACATAAGTTAAAATCTACAAATACAAGATATTGATGAATAAAATTAAACGCTCACAGAATTCGCTAAAATGCATTGATAAATGGAGAACTGATTAAAAACAAAATTTAGCCAACATAGAAATTCGAACAAAATTACAACCTTTTGAGCTTTAGCTGAATTTGTCAAATTTTAAGGCAGAAGCACAGAATAATAAACAATTGTTATTTATTCTGTGGCAGAAGACTTGTGGTTCTTATTTTTTTTCTTTGAAAACTAGACAAACGTCAGTGTCAGGTTTATATTGACGTCTCCGGTATACATAAAAGACCAAGACTAAAAGACTAATAGGAGTCCCAATGGTGTATTTATGTTTTAGGAACTAAAAATGCAAGACTCCTTAGATGATTACGTTAAACTAGCAAAAAACATTCAATCAGAAGGTAGCTCCAAAGAGACGCAGTAAGTGATAAATGAAAGTTATTATATAAAAAAATAGGACAAAACTGTTGCAAAATCTTGCATGATTTCTTAAAATCATTTTGTTTGTAGAAAAGATGTCCAGATTGCTGCTCAAAGAAAAAAAGAATGCGAAACGAGGGCGTTCAAAATTGTTGAGTTTTCAATAGAAGGAAAATTGAGACCAGAAATATTTACCAGATGTGTAAGTCTAACCTCTCAATGTTATTGCCTGTTTGACATAGGCTAATTTTCAAACTTGATTTTCTTTTTTGGGGAATTCCTATGAAACATTTTATTAGTAATCAGTCATTTGTTTTCCAGCACTTTCTGACCTGATGAACAACTATTGTTCTAACAACTACTGCATTAGATGTTGTTCTTATGAGCTTTCTGGCATATTTTATTTTCATTTTAGAGCAAATATTCTATTTGTCAATTTAACATATTTTTTAAAATTTCAGCTTCCATACATCAATCAATCACATTATCAAGACATAGTTGAAGAAAGGGCTATTACAAAACTATGTGGCTACTCAGTATGTGGAAGAAAGATTCCAGAAATGCCCAAGAAACAGTTTTACATATCAACTAAACATAACAAAGTTTATGACATTACAGATCGAAAGAACTATTGCAGTAACTTTTGTTATAAAGCTAGTCTACATATAAAAAAACAGATTGATGACAGTCCTTTGTGGTTGCGTAAGCTAGATTCCATTCCAGAGTATCAATTTTTAGGAAGTGAAGGAGGGTGAGTTGACTTTTTTGTGTATTTTTAAAGGTTAACTCTGTTTGTATAACTTGGTATCTTCAATAGGAATAATTTGGAACAATATTTTTAAGTAACAATAAAAAGCATCCAAATAAATAAAAAAAAACAGTAGTATAAAGTTCATGAGACAGAAAAATGAACAATTGCTAATAAAATTGATTTGACTTGTTTTTACCAAAAGTATTTTATATTTTTAGGGGCTTACCAGGTGAATATATAGACCAAGGCATATCCAAACCTATAGTTGAACCTTTATTCACTTCTGTGGGAAGCTTTACTAATGTTTCTTTAGAAGATATGATTAACAAAGAAAAGGGGTCCAGCAAAGAACAAAATAAAGGAAAACCAACAGGTAAATTAGTCTTGTTATCTCACTGTCCCTATAAATATTATAATATTAATTTTTTTAATATAAACCCTGTAAATAAATTCTTTAACAAAGGTAAGTGTAACTTGGGACATCTGGCTAATTGTCTATGCTAAAGCCATTATACAATAAAAAAAAATTTGGGACATTTTTCTCATTTGGTCCCAGTGAAGATTGCCTAAAATAAATTTGACAGAATGAAATATTGGTATTTGGTATTGTTGAAATTTTCATTACAAATGAAACATATGCAATCAAAAGCAGTAAGATATTTAAAAATTAATACTTTAGGATTACCAAAATAGAAAAAGTAAATAGTTTTAAAACAGTTTTTAAATGTAAAGAGTAAAATAACAGTATAAATAATAAAGTTAAAAAGACATCTGTTTCAATCTGGCAACTGGTGGTTTAAGGAATCTGACTTTATTGCCAAATCTATCTGCAAACCTACAAAAGGGCAATTAACAAATTTTTAATAACTGTAATTAATATCAAAAGAATCAAATATTAATTCATTCATGTTTTGTATAAATAATACAATTGCAGAATCCTTAAAATAATGTAATAAAAATGTAATGTAATAAATGTCATAATGTAATAAACATATACAGGGTGGTCTTTAAGTAATTGTACAAAAAGAAACCATAGATTTGGGTACTATAGCCACACATATGTGGCATGCACGTGCACTTAACTTTTTTGTTCTTTAAGTTTCCAGTGTTTGTGATAAAAAATATTAAAGATACATTATTCTAACTAAAAAAGGAATACTTGCTAATAACCTCAAAACTCAATAGTTTTCAAGATAATCACATTTTACAAATCAACTACATAATTCTGATTAAATGCAATTACTCCAGGTAACAAAGAAAATTAGACAAAAATATTAATACTTCTGAATTTTGGTATAAAATGCCTTTAGTAAAGTTAATAGTTAATGAAATATTAACTAAAATAAATATATCACCAGAATAGTTAGTAGTAGGAATTGACGAAATAACAGAATAATTGGATTTTACATCAAACATTTTACGATTTGTATTTTTGTATTAAATTAAAGTCATTATCAAAATATTTTATTTACAAACCAAATTAAGAAATAGTTAAACTAAATCACATTAAACTTTTTGTCAAAGTAAGTTCTTTAATTCATTTGTCAATACATTCCATAAAAGAATGTCTCATATTAAATAACATCATTGGTGCTAAAGAAACTGTTGCAGTATTTATTATATATATATAATAAGTATTATTTTGGGATTTTTATGCATTATGTAATTATATTAATATCTCACCACATGACCAAGGAATATGACTACCACGAACAATCCAACATTCAGGAAAGTTGTATTTAAGTATGTTCTCACTGCCCTCTCTCTATAATGTGGTGGTGTCTCATCTTGCATAAACCACATATTTGGCCTTAAGTTTGATATACTAAATACTATATAAGTTTACTATTACTTTATATACTATTTAGTATATAAAGTTTTATATACTAAAACGCTAAGCCCTTTTCTTGTCCACCACTTTACTCAAAAACCATATTAGATAATTAAAATATTTTTTCGGAATATTATTAGTATTACGTATGAGATTGTTAAGATATACTTTTGGTACAAAAATTCACTTCTGGTTTTGAGATGATCGGAAGTAAAAATTTACTTTAAGCTTTAGACCCCACAATGTATATATGGATCGAAAGGTCTCGTCGAGACAAATCTAAATATGTACTTCCGATTGCGATCCGACACCGGAAGTGACCCGAAACGCGCATAAAACGTCAAGATAGAGCAAATCTGACCCCGGATTTGTGATCAGCATGCAAAATTAACTGCTAAATGATATCCATGTTGACATTTGATGAACTAAAAATTGCATTCCGGTTTTGAGGTCCACTTCCGGTTTCGTTTTTATTAAAAAGTAAAAAGTAAAAGTTTACATAACTCTCGGTGAAAAGCAAAAGTTTTCAGAAAATGGAGACATTGTAACAAAAAACATTGTTTTCAACGAAATATTTCGTGATATTTAATACACTTTTTACTTGCATTATTATTGATGAATGTTATGTATATTCTTGCTTATATTGTTTGTATTGATCTCTTAATTTTTCTCGCAAAATAAAAATTTTATTTTAAAACCTCGATGTCGAGTTGGTCCGCTAGTTTTCCAATAAATCAATAAAACCATTTAAAAAAAAAATGTAAATAAATCTCACCATTCAAATTACAAGGTAATTCGCATGTTCAAAAAAAATAATTACACATGGTTCCAAACCGTAAGTTTATTTAAAATGCATATCGTATGGTTTGGTACCATTTATAATTATTTTTTACGGACATACCAATTACCTTGTAATTTGAATGGTGAGATTTGTTTACATATTTTATAAAATAATTTTATTGATTTATTGGAAGAGTTGTCATCAAACTTAAGGCGAAATATGTGGTTTATGCAAGATGGTATAGCTAATGGATTTTGACAAGAGCTATGACCTTTTAAATAACAGATAAACTTGTGTACTAAATCGGCATGACTCATAGCTCTGGACAAAATCCATTACCTACACCACCACATTATAGACAGAGAGCAATAAGAACATAATTAAATACAACTTTCCTGAACATTGGATTGTTCGTAGTAGTCATATTCGTTGGTCAGATGGTGAGATATTATTATAATTATTTAATTCATAAAAATCCTAAACTAATACTTTATTATTATATTAAATTTATTATATATTATACTTATAATACTTCTTTAGAACCAATGATGCTATTTAATATGAGACAATCTTTTATGGAAAGTATTAACAAATGAATTATAGAAAATTTGGTTTGATTATGATTTAAATTTAATATAAAACGTAAAATTTTTTATGTAAAATCCAATTATTCTGTTATTTTGTTCAATCCTACTATTAACTATGCTGCTGATATATTTATTTTATTTAATATGTAGTTAACTATTAACTTTATTAAAGGCATTTTATACCAAAATTCAGAAGTATTGATGTTTTTGTCTAGTTTTCTTTCATTGCCAAGTTATTAACAAGTATACCTTTTTTTGTTAAAATAATGTATTTTTAATATTTCACAAATATCAGTAACTTAAAGAGCAAAAAATTAAGTGCAAATGTATGCCATGTATGTTCAATGGTACACAGTTTGGTGAATGGGTGGAAATGGTGAATTTTTATACATAAATGTTCACAAACATCAAAGTTATAGCGAAAATTAAAATTTTAAATTTTCACTTTATTACCCTGTATCTTTCTTAATATCAACATTTTATTAAAGCAATTTGGCTTAAATCGTAATATTTTAAAATGTAGAATCTACAGTTTCTTTTTGTACAATTACTTAAGGACCACCCTGTTATAATCTTATAAGGACATAGTAACACGGTAACACTGCCAATGCAATATTTCCTTCTGTCAAACTTAATTGACAGCTAATTTGAGGACAACTTCTCCTGGGACCGAATGTGAAAAAATGTTCATAACTTATTTGGGCAGTTTTTATGTCAACTTCGTTGCTGATATATTATCTAAAAATTATTTGATTCATGTATTTTTATTGGTACTTTTGTCATCTTTTTATCGTACAATAGTTAATTTCTTAATGTTCTGAATAAGAATCTTCTTTTCTGTTCAATTTCTTCAGTGATTACTGATTTAAAGTTTCAGGAAATAAGAAGAAGTCCAAGTTGGTCAAGACCATGCAAACAATCACAGAAATGGAACATATAGAGGAAGACGAGCCAACTTTACAAGTAAAGAAGGATCCTGTAGGCTACAATCCCTTGCAAAAGTCATCTAGTCTTCCAGTGATAATTGAAAATGAAGAAAACATTGAAAACAAGCCAGAATCATTTGAATCCTCACACAGTATACCCCATATGAAGCCTAGCTTTAAAAAGACAAGAACAAAGTCTATGAAACTTCCTAAAATCGATATTGAAGATCAGATTAAGAAAGTGGTAAAAGAATGGTTGACTTTAGAATCTCTGATATTTTTATATGGTGAACCTAAAATAAAAACCGTTTTAAATGAGAAAAAATTAAGTGAGTATTTTGAAAAATTGCAAATAGACAATTTACAGAGGGACCAACAAATTAAATATATGGATATATGTAGAAGGCTAAATTTAAGAGAAATGGCAGACGAAAAATTTGACAATTCCTTAATTGGAACAAAGCTACAGCCTCCACCAGATTACGGTAAGTGAATTTTTTTTGTTAGGTCTATTTTTTGTCTTCACTTGACTATATTTTTCCTTGTAAGTTTCACCAGAAGTTTACAACTTAACATTTTACAGCAAATTATACAAAAATTGGTATGTTGGTTTTAAAATTTGGTAGGTAATTTTTGTAAATATCATCCTAAAACTGGGTACTGTGCTTCAAAAACCTTCATAAAAAATTTTTTATACATTTGTAAAAAATGTTTTAAAAAGTTGCTAACTTTTATGAAAATCTTGTTATATCTTAGTGATTTTTAAGAGAATCTATAAACTGTATATTAGTTGACTTAAAGAGTGTAAAAACTGTTGTTGTACAGAAAAATGTAAAAAACTATGAATTTTTGTATAAATGGGCCAACACTAAGATTCCTGTCACTGTTTAAGATCACCTGTCTTATTTCGAGTCAAAGTAAACAGTCTGTCTTGTAAACAGTAAATATTGTTTGTTTTTCTGCAAGCCCTAGTTTCTTTCAATTTAGATTACTTACTATAACACTAGTACTAGAAGCAATGTTACTTTTATCTTTTACATGACTTTAAAAGAGTATGGTGTGTATTAACTTTATTAAATTATTGTATCCCTGTCATTTTTAGCGAAAATTAAGCAAGAAAATAAGGAACTGACCATCAAAGTGAAGTGTTTCTTTAGCGGGGTAATGTTAGAGAAGGAAGACAGTAATTTTCCCTCGAAAACTAAAAAAACTGAAGAAAATAAAGACTGTACCGAAAGTCCTGTAGTATTACCATTAGTTGATGTAAATTCCCAGAAGGCATTAAGAAGGAAAATATTCTTAACAGCCGTCAATAAATCGTAAGTAAATGATACTTTTTCTTAACCCTTTACCGCATGAATTTTTGTTTTTTGTCAAAAATAAATTCTCAGATAAGAATTTTAATTCTATTTTTACGTAAAAATATTGAAAAATTCTAGCCCTGTAGCATCTGTAAAAATGATCAAGCCCATCTTTACAGATGTCTTCTTGTGGTATTTCTTTAGTGGGTCCCTTTTTTCGTTTTTTCTCGTACATCTGCTGAATGCTACTACTTGATGGTCAGTCTACTCTGTTCTGTTAAATTGGTTTTACGGCTTTGCCATCGAGCAAAAAGATAAAAGAGGGAATGTAAAGGTAGTGGGGACAACAATATTGTTAGACAGGAAGTGCCATCTTGAGAGGCCACTTTAAACAAGGAAAGACAGTCTCTTTCCTTGTTTAAGAAGTCAAATTTAGTTTGGTTATGTTATTGTTTGTCCCAACTGTCACATGAAATTTTATTTATATTGAAGTTTTTTACCAATTATGTCACTTTTTAGACTATTATCGTTAATATTTAATTAAAGCTTTCTTGTCTGAAAAATATTTTACAGGTATTGTTAACAAGTGTTGGAAAATTTAAATTTAGCGCCTTTGCATTTCCGGATATGTCCGCCATCAGAGGCCACTTTTTTGGTCTCCTTTTCATAACGATTAGATTCCCTCTTTTATCTTTTTGCTCGATGGGCTTTGCATAGAGCATCGGCTATTGCGAGTTTGATATCCAAAAGGGGTAAATCAAATTTCTTTGCTCTTTTGGCTAATAACCAATAGATCACGGCTGTCATGTCAATAAATTGAAAAAATATTCGTAAATAATATTTCTTCGACCTGATGTTTATACGATAAAATCCTAACATTGAATCAAGGAGATCTACGCCTCCCATGTAGTTGTTGTAGGTTAGGACACTGTTAGGACAAGGTATCTTTTTGTGTATACTTTCTTGTTTGAAAAATCTTCTTTTTTCTCCCTTTGGTTCACTTCCAGCATATGTAAACATTATAGTAACGATTTTATTATCAAACCAGGGCACTACAGTGACCACATTGTCTATATTGGCTATTTTCTCTACCATATGACCTCTACCGCGCTTCTTCATTTCTCTCTTAGCTGGCATCACAACTCCAGGAACAGAATTCTTACTGTTCCCAAAGGTAAAATGCCCTCTTTGGTCAGATATATCATAAGAGGTGTGCTGGTGAAGCCATTGTCAAAAAACAACTTGTAATGTTGATGTTTTGGTATCGAATCTGCTAATTTGACAACCATGTTGTTGCCATACTAAGATTTGGTGCTCCTAGGTGTTCAATATTATTCTGGGAACCATCAAACTAATTAAAGTCATAGTTGAATCCCGAAATAACAGTCAGCACCAAGTTTTTGAAGCCCCACTTATGTGGTTTTTTGGATTATACTGCTTTAGCTGTCTTCGCGCTTTTGTTGGTATAATCTGTTGGTTCTACAGCTAGAAATTCTTCTTTCGGAAACATGAGTAGTCGTTCTTTGATTTGGCTAAGAACAGGTCAAATTTTGAATAATCTGTCATGTCCAGGCTGATCATTTTCAGTTATGTCATCATTATTATTGAAATGCAAGTAACGTTTTATTTCTTCGAATCTGCTACAGTTCATCACATCGCTAACTGTTCGGTGGCCAAAATCGGCATTCCAATGGTGTCTTGTTGATTGAAGTGGAATTATCGACATGTAAATAGTAATTCCTATAAATTGTTCTATTTCATATTTTTTTATATTAGCTGGTTTATCTGGACGTTGTTGCACTGAGTATAAATTTGATTGGTCTGTGATATGCTCTATAACACTAACAGGAAAGAGAAACTTAAAAAATTGGACCGGAGTTTCTAATCGTAAAATCGGAGAAGGTATAGAAGAACCAGTATATTTTGTATCATTTTTTGATCTTCTCAGATTTCCTTTCACTCAATTGAGATTTTTTCCTTTTATATCGTAGTCCTTCAGACAAAGGGGTATCATCATCTGAGGAATCTGAGGATGTGGCAGAAATGACAGTTTCCTTGACATTGGTTGGTAAATTTTCACGCTCCTGATTGTCACTATCTTGACACAATATCATCTTATTTGTGCCGTCTTCTTCGGAGAGATCTGATTCTTCACTATTAGTACTATTTGGAATTTAAACTTCATAGTGTGCCATATATAGCACAAACCCTTTTTGGGGTTTTCGAGAGACTTTCAACATTCTTAATTTTTAGTATATACCTTTCAATGTTTTCTCGCCGTAAAAAACGTTTTTACTATGAAAAATAACCTCTAACTTCGAGCACTGTTTCACATGGTTCAGAATTTCAACAAGAATGAACTTGAAACTGCGCACGGCTGCCTATCTCGCCGCCAGAACTATGCCGCATATCTCGCGTACACTATTAGTACGTGTCAGATATGGGCTGCCATGCAGCTACGATAAAAATTGAGATAAAACGTTAAAGACAGTTTTTTTATGGTTGTGCCATTTATGTCACATTATGCGGTAAAGGGTTCAACATGTCTACAGATTGAACGAATTTAAAACGGATCATACAATTTAATATATGTCTGTTTGAACTGCATTTGAAATAGTGGACCAATATAAAACTTGGACAAAAATAAATCCATACCTGGGTGTAGACATTGTATAAAATATCTAAAACTTTGCAATTTTTTCGTCCTACATGGATTGAGTTGAAATTTTAACAGAAGGTAGGTGATAGCCCAAGGATCAAAATCTATATCGAACCGAAGTGCGCTGATGGGTTTTAGGGGTGAAAACTACCCCTAATTGTCAAAAATTATAAAATATTTCAACCCTTAAAAAGCAACCCTTGTTAAAGATTAATGTAAAATATTACTAATTCTAAAAAAATGATTTTGCCTTGGATCGATTTGGATAAAAATTTGGATTTAAGCTCAATTCACCCACTGCTTTATAGTTTATGTCATGTCGACGAACTCTGATTGTTCTTAGGGGTGAAAACTACCCCGAATTGTTAAAAATTATAAAATAACATATTAAACCTGAATATGGGTAAAATTTGGTTTGAATTAATTAAATAATGATAGTTTCGTGCTTTTGAATAAAGTTTTATTATATTTCAACCCTTAAAAAGCGACCCTTGTTAGAGATTAATGTAAAAAAAGTAGTAATGTGAAGAAATATTTCGCCTTGGAACGATTTGCATAAAAATTTGGAATTAAGCTCAACTTACCCTCTGCTTTATAGTTTATGTCATGCCGATGACCCCTGATTGTTCTTAGGGTGAAAACTACCCCTAATTTTTAAAAATTGTAAAATAACATTACAAATCTTAAGATGAGTGAAATTTGGTTTGGATTAGTTAAATAGTGATATTTTTATACTTTAAAATACAATTTCATAAATTTTCAACCCTTAAAAATCAATTGTTATGAGTGCTATAGGAGAAAACAATTTTTTGCCAAAATTTTGCAACTTTTCAACTTTTGAAAATCACCCTTTACACCATTGATGTTTTTATAAACTAATTTAATAGATATAAATTGAAAAAAGTAGAATTAAATACAAAAAAATTTATCAACATAAAAAGGCACCATATATTCTTATACATTTACATAAATAGTTGAAAATATTTACATTTATAGGTAAAACAATTATAATATTAATTTTATTCGTCATCAATTACATTTTCATCGTGATCTATGTCATCCTCATCTTCTTTAATTATTGGTGGACTATATATTGCACCCTTCACCTGAGCAATCAGAACAAGTAGAGTTACAGTATAAACCAACTTTTCTGCACCCACATAAAACGCCGCATCCTTTTTTGCATTGGCAAAAAATAATTTTCAAAAGTTCATCGGGTGCAGGTTGTTTGTTCATGCGTACGGGTAATAACAAACCATCTTTGGAATACCATCCCCAATCTGTTGCTCTGATATTTTCATTGCCAAGCCATAGACATATGAGCAGATGTTTTATTCTGTTATATGGGATTTCAAAATAAGAACGCTATATACCGTTTTGTAGAATATTATGCTCCGAAATATTCTGTACTATACTAATGGAATTTTCCGGAAAAAAATTAAGTGGTTTTTTTAACGTATTTCCTTCATTTTTAACTATAGAGTGTTTCTTGAAAAACGATTTTGTAGAGGTTTTTAAGAGCTACAAGGATCTGTGAATTAAATCTTTTTGAAACCCTTGATTTTTAAATGGGGTGAGTTTAAAGGGCTCGAAAAAGATGGTGCTTGATCGTAAATCGATTATCTCGCCAAATATTCATTGTACAACAAATCTAAATAAAGGAAAATTTTAGTCATTAAAAAAGCTACAATTTAGTACATTTTTTTTTCATATTCAGTATTTTCGGGGATATTTAAAAAAAGATGGGTAAAAAATATGAAATTGTAAATCGTTTCTCGCTTTATGCTGTACTTTTTCTAAAATTAAGCATTCACATTTTACATCTGCAAATGGGTCAAACTTCTTGGACGTATTAACAATACATGTACAAAGAGAATTGCAGAAGGGTGAAGATCGATTTTAATTAGGGGCTGGTTAGGGGGTTGTTTTCATCGATTTTTCGTAAAAAAATGAGATATTGACCTTATTTTCATCATAACTAACTCAATTTTTGAGCTAGTCTTTTTTTATGATAGGTCTAAACATGCTCTTTAAAAAAGGTTCTGTGAGTTTTTTTCCAAAAGCCCGATATTTGACTTTGAATCTTTCAAATTTGGCATTTGAAGAAAACCGCTGAACATTGATAGGCCGTATTTCGGTTCTTGTTATATCGCAAAAACATTTTAAAACATGAATTGTATTTGTCTTTTTAAAAGCTACAAATTTCTTCTCTACAATTTTTTTGATAAAATGCACCATTTTCGAGTTATTCGCGAAAAATCGATTAAAACGTCGATTTTTCGTCTAAAAGTTGTTACTTTCAATCGCGAATAACTTAAAAAATATCAGTTTTACAAAAAAACTGTATACAACATTTTTTGTTTAGAATCACTTTTTTAATCGAAACCTGTAGTTAAAACGTAAAAAAAAAATTTCACCCCCGAAATGGGGTGGCAACCACCCCCAAGGCTTTGGCGCACTTTGATTCGATATAGATTTTGATCCTTGGCTATTACCTACCTTCTGTTAAAATTTCAAGTCAATCCACGCAGGACGAAAAAATTGCGAGATGAAATGCTTCATTTCCTGGACTTTAAGTGGTTTGACAGCATAATAAAATCGTAGATTTATGTGTAGCTTTCAATTTTTATTATTTTAGAATCCAGCAGCTCGCTGAAGTATTGAATTTTTATAATATAATTATTTGACAACCTTTTGTTGGTCAACCACCTACAGCAGAATTGAGCCGAAATACATATTTCGTATTTTCCGAATTTATTTCGTTCAATCTGTATATGCGTGGGTGCAGCTTTCAATCTCTTTTTTTTTACATCTGCAACATTCATACCAGAATTGTTGTTTTTCGCGAAATAAACACACATATATGTATGACTTAACAATTCACCCACATATAGTGAAAATATTTGAATTCAACTAAAAAAGACGATTTTACAGGTGGCTCTACTAATTCTACCATCCACGCTGTATAGGGATGTCCATAAATAGTAAATCCATATTTAATTATTTTAGATCTTTTCGTATGTTTTATGCTCTTTTTCATGTATTTTATTGTTTTTAGGATGCAACAGTTGCTGCAAGGTTTACGAATCAAGTTTTACAACACGATACTTACCGATTTGCAAAATTTAGTTAAAACATTCAACCTTAACGCAGATAATATAGTATTTAGGCCCATTGTATGGAATTATATCAGCATAATATTGCTCAATATGTAAGTAATATGCAATATCCATAAATTAGGTTTGTTTTATAAAAGTGAGAGCTTGGAAATTTATTTTGTTTCAGATTATCTATCCGGGATTCAGAAATTATGAAAGTATTGGAAGAAAAGGCTTCACAGGAATACATAAAGCTCGAAATGTCCATTTTGCCTAATAAGGAAGTAATAATTGGTGATATAATGAAGGAGGTCTCTGATATTGATCTTTTCATTGAACACTACATTTCCTCCAATTGATGTGATTATTTAATAATTTTAAGTAAACATTAAGAACTATTGTGATTTGTTTTATTTATTCTTGTTTTACTTTCTTCGCTATAGAACGTAGTAAACGGTACAGAACTAAGACAAACGAAAATAAAAGTTGATTTGTTGGAATTACTTTTAGTACATAGTTTTATATACATACTCCAATATTGTTCTGAAGCTATTTTCTTGTGGTATTTTAAAGTAATTACTATTTAAATGGGAATAAGCCACAATTAAAAGTTAAAGTACGTTTATTGACGTTTCAATTTCCACTTCGGAAATCGTTCTCAAAATGCAAACATTAGTAAATTAAACAAATATTGTTTTTTGTTACTTGGTGTAAAAATTCTTCTAATAATTTAATTTGATCTGACCCATTTATATTGACAATTCAGACATATACATTTTGAAGTAGACGAATTTAAAATTATGTTGCCAATATTGTTGTGTTGCGTTCCTGGGATAACTTTACTTGTAAGATAGTTCATTCGATTACATGAAATCAACTTTAACTTGAGAATATCTATCAGAAAAAATCATAGCCTGTAGTACGTCTTTAAAAAGACAAATACATGCCATGATGACAGTAAAACTCTCGTGTTAGTGATTCCATAGTAAATTATCGGGGAAAACCAGGAAAAAAACTTCATAATACTATACCGATGTGGTAAGTATTTGGTGTGCATTTAGTTTACTTTCAATAAACACCAAATTCTGATTTTATATGTTTTTTATTTAAAAAACATAAATGATGTATCCTCTACGTTACTAGCTTACTAATACTGGTATTTCCTTTTAACTTTTAATATGGGTAACCAGATCCCACTACATTCTGCTGAGGAATTTGCGACAAAATTGGTCTCATTTAGCAAAATTACAGCCGCTCTTTGTTTTTCTATTTTTACCATCCGTTTCTTTTGGGACTATATTTGAATCATTCCATTGAACCCTATGTTCATTGTCCAATGCGTGTTTACATATTTGAGATCTATCAAATTCTCTATTTTAAATATAAGATTGATGTTCACTTATTCTAACATTTAATGGCCTTGATGTTTCACCTAAATAAAACTGATCGCATTCACAAGGCATTTTATAAATACAATTATTTGTCCTTTCTTGTTTATTGTTAGGTTTGGTTTTAGATAAAATAGATCTCAATGTGTTTGTTGTTTTGAATGTTGTTGAAGTGTTGAATTTATTTCTTATCCTTTTAAGTTTTCCTGATAATCCTTTTATGTATAGTATTGTTATTTTCCTCGAATTATTCCTTGTGTGTGCTGTAGGATCTCGTTCTAGGTTGTTCTATTCGGTCGATTGTTGAAAATTCCTTATTTATAAAGTATAATCATTTTTTAATAAAACAGATGTTAACAAATGTTTTTCTTCCAAGAACGAATTTTCGTTAGAACAGGTAGTTTTGGCTCTATCGTATATATATTTTTACTGTCATCATCATGGCATGTATTTGTCTTTTTAAAGACTTATTACATGCTATGATTTGTTCTGACGGATATTCTCAAGTTAAAGTTGATTTCATGTAATCGAATAAAGTATCTCACAAGTAAAGTCGTCCTAAGAACGCAACTTAACAATATTGGCAATATAATTTTAAAGTAGTCTACTTTAAAATGTATAATGTGTGTCTAAATTGTCAATATAAATGAGTCAGATAAAATTAAATTAGAAGAATTTTTTCAGTGAGTAAAAAAAAAACAAAATTTGCTTGATTAACTAACCTATGTTTGTATTTTGAGAACGATTTCCGAAATGCAAATTGAAACATCAATAAACGTACTTTAACATTTAATTGTGGCTTATTCCCATTTAAATAGTAATAACATACTCCAAATAAAGCAGTTAAAAATAAATGTCTACTATTTATTTTTATCAGTATTGAATAAAATGTCTCCTTTGGAAAAAAATACATAGTCTCCGATATTTCATTTTTTTACCATTGAGTTGCGCCAAGTTTAGGCAACTCACAGTTGCTCGAGTTAAATAACATTATTTAAAATCCATAAACAGGTTTGACATAGCTGTAAAACCCATAGATGACTAAATCACAGAATAATAAACAATCAGAATACCCACTATCAGATGCCGCCTTTGAAGTTTTTCAGCACGCGCGCCATGTTTTAGAAGGAAACACAGACATATGATTTGTGAGGTTATGTAATTGTTTATGTTTAATTATATTATATTTAACAATGTTAATATAATTGTATAGTATGTCTATCATAGCCGTAAGTCAATTAAACGGGGTTAATTTTTCTATGCACACCACATAAACAACACTGGTTCCCTCTAAAACATGGCGGAACCATTGACGTTATTTATACGTCCATGGGCGGAACCATCTGCGCGAAGGAGATGCGCGTACTTAATTTTCCATTGAGAGTGGGCAGAGTTTCTGAGAGAGAGAGAGAGTTTTCTGATTGTTAATTATTCTGTGACTAAATGTAGAAGCACAGACAATAAGATTTTTCTATCTATGTTATTCGGGATATTAAGTGAAGCTAATTTTTTAATGTTTAGTGTGCTTGTTGTCCGCCAGGTGTCCAAAAATAAGTTGGGCAAAAAAATGTAAGTAATTTTTGAAATTTGACTCGTTGCCTATGATATTTACATGAAATTTTTTGATAATAATTTTTATTTTTAAATTATAATTAGATAAGAGATAGTTTTTGTAATATTTTGGTTAATCTGTGGATTTGTGGTTTAGAATAATAATTTATTGTATAAAAATAGTGCGATCATGCAGTGCATTACGTTGTAGCAACTACAAGAAATTCCACATTGGAACATGTAAGTATTTGAGTGAGCATCAATGCCTATTAATTTAAACTCTGCTATGATTACTACAAAAGACACTCTTCAGGTTGTGGAAAACACAAAAAAGCCTTGTTCTTGACAACAGGTATGTTCAAAAATAATCTGTGTGATGCCAAAATAGTCAATGGCATTGTTTTATCTGTAGTAAATAACCTTTTCCAGGCAATGATTTCTCTTTATGTACTAAGGTAGTAAACTTCAATTGTCAAGTAAATGCTACTTCAAAAAGGCTTGAACAGTGGTCTGTGGCTTGAACTAACTAAATTTATCTCATTCCCTCTCTCTCTCTCTCTCTCTCTCTCTCTCCAATAACAGCCCAAATCGAGCCTTGACCTTCCGAACTATGCCACCAACCTTGCCGGTCCCACGCCGATCTTCTCCAGGTTCTCATATCTAGCAAATTTTGCGCATCCGCTGCTACTACATCCTCCCACCTTTTCCGTGGCCTTCTTTTAGGTGTTACCTGATGTGATGTATTGGCAATCCTGCAGTGCTGTTGCGTCACAATCAGCTGAGAAAAAATTCAGTACGATCTAAGACAGACGCGGCGATGGTCTATTTTAATGTATATTATTTGCATTACGTTAGGAGTGATCATTAAAGTCAGTAGTATTTCCTTACTGTGGTTATTATTTACAACCCTGACCGATACATATTACCTGAATATTATTATCTAGGCCTCTTTTTGGCAACATTCCTGTCTCCATTCTCACTACATGACCAGCCCATCGAAATCTTTAAAGATTAACGAATTCTGAGATCGCTGTCTCTTTGAACAGTTGGTAGAGTTCATGTGGTTGTACCTGGATCTCCGTACTACTTCTGTCTTTAGATTATACAATTTTCATAAGATTATATAGGGAGTTCGACCCTTAGGTTATTTAATAGTACTATAAGATTTTATCATTATTATCATTTATGTATAAAGTGACTATTGTCATCATCATCAATGGTGCTACAGCCCTATGAAAGAGCCTCGACCTTCCCAAGTCTATTACGCCAGGCAGTCATATTCATTGCCAACCGTTGCCAGTTTGCTGCGCTTATCTTTCTACCATCCTCATCTACACCATCCTTCCATCTGAGTTTTGGCCTACCCCTTTTTCTACTTCCCACGGGTTCTGACATAAGGATTCTTCTGGGAAGGTTGTTCTGCTGTGATCTTGCTAGATGTCCTACCCATCTTAGTCTTCCTATTCTTATAAGAGATACTACGTCTTTACCACCAAATATTTGTTTATATCTGTGGTATACCTCGTAGTTGTATCTCCTCCTCCAAACACCATTTTCACAGATGCCACCAAATATTGCTCTCAAGATCCTTCGTGCAAATATAAGCAGAAGGTCTTCGTCTGCGTTGGAGATGGTCCATGTCTCCGATCCATATGTCAACACTGGCTGTATAACTGACTAAGTTTTGTATATGGTTATTTTTGTTTTTTGGCTTAAGTTTCTACTTTTCATATGTCTACTCAAGTGACTAGTACTGTTTTTGTTTATCTAATTTATTGTCTTTATTTGCTATCAAAGGTTCTACATTTATATCACTTACAAATTTATTAAAGTCTTTATCACAATATTCACTAATTTATTTTTACATTTATATTCGAACTAAAAATATACTCGACTTCAAAACTAGAACTAACTGTCCTTAAATAAAAGGTTCCTCTATTTACACTAAACAACCGTTATCTAGAATTATCGATGACCTTCTCAAAGTTATGAGTCATATTTATCGTAACACTATAATAAAAATTATTCTAATGTTTTTTCTCGTCATTATGTCTACATAAAAACTTAAATAACGTTTAAGACTAATATTGGACATACAAAGTTGCACAGTTTATTCGGTTATTAATATAATTTATACATACATTTAATAAATCTTTTTTATGCCCCTTTTTTAAAGAGATTACAGTTTTTACCTCATTTTCCTACATAAAGTTCATTCTTTAGAGCCATCTACTGGGGAGGTATTAAGAACAACTTTGACAGGTCGAACAGCTGGTCATGTCATAATTCATAATCATAATACAAATAATATTTGAATGGTCCGGTTTTTGAGTGATAATTTTCAGTTTGCTTTATAATGCCTCAAGGTAGAAGGAAAGTCCCATTTAGTGGAAAAGCCAAAAAAGAACAACTCAAAGCAAAGAGACAATCTAAACAAGGTGATAACTTCTAGTT